GGCACAGCCTGGCCATGGGGACAGAGCCTGGATGGGGGACGCCATGGGGGTGTAGCCAGGTTGGGGGGTGCAATGTGGGGTGCAGTGTGGCCATGGGGGACCCAGATGGGGGGGCAGGGCACCATGGAGGCACAACCTGGCCATGGGGACAGAGCCTGGATGGGGGACACCATGGGGGGCACAAGCTGCCCATGGGGACAGTGCATGACACTGGGGGGGTGCACAACCTGGGCATGGGGACAGAGCCTGGGCAGCGGACGTTATGGGGGGCACAGCCTGGCCATGGGGGGCACCGCATGGCCCCATCCCTTGGCAGGGCGATGCTGCCCTGGTGATGATGGTGACGATGCTGCCGCCATCCCCAGGGCCACCAGGGCACGTGTCCCCAGGAGAGCGTGTACTGCGAGAACAAGTGTGGGGCCCGCATGATGCGGCGCCTGCTGTCCCAGCACACCCTGGCCGAGTGCCCCAAGCGCACCCAGCCCTGCACCTACTGCGCCAAGGAGTTTGTCTTCGACACCATCCAGGTGAGACGGGGCCCACGGGGACCCTTCCCCCGCCGGCTCCTGGCCCCGGCTGACGGCCACCCTCCCTCCCCAGAACCACCAGTACCAGTGTCCCCGGTACCCCGTGCCCTGCCCCAACCAGTGCGGGACGCCCAGCATCGCTCGGGAGGACGTGCCCACCCACCTCAAGGAGAGCTGCAACACTGCCATGCTGCTGTGCCCCTTCAAGGAAGCTGGCTGCAAACACCGGGTGAGTGTGTCCCCGGCCCCGTGCCGGCGTCCCTGTGACCATCCCGCCCTGGCGTCCCACCATGGCGTGCCTGTGCCCCACAGCATCCCCACACCTCTCCTGCCCTGACATCTGTCCCGTCCCCTGTGGTGTCCCTGTTCTGCTCTGTCCCATCCATGTGGCTCCATCCTTGTCCTGCCTCACCCCTGCGTCGCTTTGCCATCCAAGCGTCCCCATGTCATCCCAACCAGGTGTCCCTGTGCCACCTCTGTGTCCCCACGGCATCCCTGTGCCGTCCTGCTCCAGTACCCCCATGCTCCAATGACATCTCCGTGACATCCCCATGGCATCCTTCTCCTGTCCTGTCCCACCCCATGCCCCACGCTGTCCCGTGCCCCCGGCGCCCCCCCCTGCTGCTGGTCCCGCTGTTCCCACAGTGCCCCAAGCTGGCCATGGGCCGGCACCTGGAGGAGAGCACCAAGGCGCACCTGGGCATGGTGTGCGCCCTGGTGAGCCGGCAGCGGCAGGAGATCCTGGAGCTGCGGCGGGATGTGGAGGAGCTGTCTGTGAGCAGCGACGGGACCCTCATCTGGAAGATCGCTGACTACGCCCGCAAGCTGCAGGAGGCCAAGGCCCGCAGCAACTACGAGTTCTTCAGCCCCCCTTTCTACACCCACAAATACGGCTACAAGCTCCAGGTCTCGGCTTTCCTCAACGGCAATGGGAGCGGGGAGAGTAGCCACCTCTCTGTCTACATCCGCGTGCTGCCGGGCGAGTATGACAACCTGCTGGAGTGGCCCTTCTCTTACCGCGTCACCTTCTCCTTGCTGGACCAGAGCGACCCCTCGCTCTCCAAGCCCCAGCACATCACCGAGACCTTCCACCCCGATCCCAACTGGAAAAACTTCCAGAAGCCGGGGGCTTCGCGCAGTTCCCTGGACGAGAGCACCCTGGGCTTTGGCTACCCCAAGTTCATCTCCCACGAGGACATCAAGAAGCGGAACTACGTGAGGGACAACGCCATCTTCATCAAAGCCTCGGTGGAGATCCCCCAGAAGATCCTGGCCTGAGCCCCAGTGCCCTGGGGGGGACAGGACGTGAGCCGGGCGCCCACCCAGGGGTGCCCCATGTGGTGCTGAGCCTCTGCCCGCAGCCGGTGCCCCTGGCTTGGGGACGCTGCTGTGGCCGCAGCCGGCGGCTCTCAGGTAGGCAGGGATGGGGCTGCTCCCCCACGTCCCTCCCGGGGCTGGGACCCCGCTGCAGCCCCAGCTGCCCCCCCCCAGGGCAGCCCCT